CAGGAGGTGAGGGTGCAGGTAGACAATGTGGTGGAGAGCAGGAGGTGAGGGTGCAGGGAGGGAGACAATGTCCAGTGGCTCCTGAGAGAGCGAGGACTGTCCCAGTGGAGGAAGCAGAGAGGCGAGCAGCAGGGGCAGGCGAGCCTGTGGATTCTGACAAGAGGTGCTACAGCTCTAGTGAATGAGTCAGTGAGCGTCCTTGTAGAAGGCGTATGGATATTCACTCCCCGTGGCCAAATGTGCTCATGAGTACCCTGCCTTATCCAACAGTTCATGGCTCACTGAGACAGGTAGGCACAGCAGTCTGACCTGGCCAAGCAGTTGTTCAGGGCCAGAGGGGAGGGGAGGCGCCTCAGTGTTCTGCCCACCTCAGATACCATCCTGCTGACACCATGAGCTGCCAGCTTGCCTAGCTTGCACCAAGTCAGTGGGCATCACTCAGCAGCATTCTCATGCCACAGCTGGGGGACCAAAGCACGGTATGCTTGCTAGGATATGGCAGACTTCTCTGCATTGGAAACAAAGAGACCCACGGATTTTCTTCAATCTCCATTCGCCTTTTCTTACACTCAGGGAAACTGAGGCCCATGAGAATGGAAGAACTAGTTGGCAATAGCTCATTTGCACAGGTAACCAAACATGTAAAAAAACGTTTCTTAAAAAGATGTTACTGGTCAACTGGTCCATCCCTACAGTGAGTGCTGCATTTCCCAGGGAGTAGGGGTGGGTGGTGAGGGGATGGGCAGCTGATGCTTCAGGACCTGCCCTTCTTCCTCTAGCCTCTTGCCCAGTTTGGGCTCCGGCAGTGCCAAGCACAGCACTCTGTCTGCCCCCCTCTGTCCTGAAACATGCTGATCCAATAGTCTGGAATGATCTTGCTGGGAGAGTATGTTATCGGCTGAACAGTGTCCTCTTAAAACCCACTCACTGCAGCCCTAACCCCACCACTCAGGGATGGGACTGCATTTGCAGACAGAACCTTTAAAAAGGTGCTTGAGGTTAAATGAGGTTCCTGATCAAGCAGGATTGGTAGAGAAGCCACGTAAGGACACAGCTGGAAGGCTGCTGTCTGTACGCCAAGAAGGGCGGCCTCACAGGGAGCCATCTGCCGGACATTTAGATCTTCTAGCCTCTAGAACTGGGAGGCAATAAATGCCTGACATTTAAGCCACACAGTTTGATTTTACTTTTTTTTTTCTTAAATAAAAGCCATATTAAATTAACTTCTCTAATTTCTATATGAGAAACGTGGAAATAATCATTTTCTATCATTTAAGCCCAGGGTTTACCAGCAAATGTGACAGGCCCTGGCTGAGCCTCCTTCCAGCTCCCTGCCCCACAGGAAGACTGTCCCCCCCCCCATCCTTGGCATCCTGTTCTACCCATGCATGTTTCCCATGCATGTTTGCAGCTGTATCATCATAAGAACAGGAGATTTGCCTGTGTACATTTGGAGAAATACAACTTGCATTTTTTCATTTAATAATATCTGACAAATTTCCTCCTAACTTACAAAGCACAGGAAGGTATAAATTGAAGGGACCCTGTCCATCACCTTTCTCCCAATTCTACCTGTTAACAGGCTGGCATCCCAGTGGGGCTTTAATTTTTTTGCCTCCTTAAAAAAATGTGTGTGTGTGTGTGTGTATGTGTGTGTGTAATGTGCACATGTGAGTGCAGGTACCAACAGATGTCAGAAGATGGCGTAAGATCGCCTGGGTGCTGGGAAACTGACCCGGGTCCTCTGCAATAGTGCCCACCTGTAATCACCGAGCCGTTTCTGCAGCCCAGCCATACCTCTCCTATGGTCTCCTTGCGAAGGTTTTTCTTTCCCAAACACAAGTACAATCACAAAGGGGGATGGCCGTACACCCCCTTTGTCTCCTCTTCCACAGGAGAGTGCACTATCAATATTGTTCTGCACTTGCCTCTGCTGTTCTCAGAAGTAAGGCTTGGGGTCTTCACTACCATCATTTGGGTAAACTCTTCAACTTTTCTGCTCGTCTGCTTTGAGACATAGTCTTGGCCCAGGCTCAGCTTGATCTTCCTGTTTAGCTTCTGAGTGCTGAGTGTTGGGATTACAGGTATGTGCACCAATCTTTTAAGAAATGTATTGCATTTATTTATTATTTTGTGTGCATATGTGTTTGGTGTGCACATGCCATGGTACATGTGTGGAAATCAGAGAACAACTTGTGGAAGTCAGTTCTCTCTTTCTACCATGTGGTGCTGGGGCTGCACTCAGGTCAAGGCTCGGCATCAAGCTCCTTTACCCACTGAGCCTTCTTGCTGCCCATCTCCACCATGCGTTCTTTTTCTTTTTCTCCAAGCTATACACTATCCCTTAGTTCAGATTCATCATAATCAATTTACCTTGATTCCTACTATTGCTCATTTGTGTTGCTTGTAATTTCTTGATGTTCTAAATAAGACTCAACCAATTGCTCATGGTCTGCGCATTTCAGATCCTAAAAAAGAATCTGTTGATACTTTCTGTTTTCTTGCCGTGCTGGGAATTGAACCACAGCTTTGTCAGGCAATGCTACCGCTGAGCTCTACCCCAACTTCTTTACTTAAAAGTGCCCCCTTCCTTCCTCCTCTCCACCCCCTCTCTTTGCACCATCACTGGGGAGCATATCCAAGGCCTTGCCCATGCTGGGTACATGTTCTGTTTCTGGCAAAGTAGCTTCCAGTCAGTCTCTCTCCCTTTGCTTTGCATCTTCTAGGCCTGGATGCATTGGCCCCAGAGCATGGTGATTTGATGACTGTCTTACCTGGTGTTTTAACACTGAAACATTATTTATTACTCTGTGTGTGTGTGTGTGTGTGTGTGTGTGTG